TAAGAGGGTGAGGCTTCTTGTGAATAGGACACTGACGATTAGGGTCTTTATCTCTGGCATCCACAATGCCTTGGTCAGTAGGTGAGGTTGTGGAGGGTGAGATGTCTGTCCTTTTAACAGATATTGCTCTAGTACAGTCTCTACGTTTAGCTGCTGTGTTATCATACCTTGATGATGATGAGGATGAAGCAGGCAAGTTTGGTTCACTGAAGCTGAAGCTGGGATCGTTTCTCGTCCAGGCTTGATCACTAATGAACCTGCAAAAGTATGAGAATGGAGGAAAGGATACGTTATAGTCTCTTTTGTACCTTGAGCCCTGTTGTGCCCATTTCTCTTGCAGGCCGTATGGCAGTTTAGACACCACTGGGTTGACACCATGAGCGGTGTCCAGGAAGCTTAGTCGAGATAGACGTGGGTCTGTCTTTGCCAACTCTAGCTCCATGAGGAGGTCACTTAGATCTTGGAGCTTGCGATAGTCTTTGTTTCCTATTTTTGGGAAGTTTTGCAGTCTCTTGAATAGAGCGCTCTCTATGGCTTCAGAGCTACCATAGGCTTGCTCAAGTCTTGCCCATGCAGCAACAAGACCTGCATCTGGGTGGTCAACATGTACTGTTCTCAGTCTTTTAACACGATCTGCAGATTCTGGTCCCAGCCACTTTATGAGCAAATCAAGTTCTTCCTTAGTAGTAAGGTTGAGATCAGCAATAGCAGCCTTGAAGGTTGATCTCCAGGCCCTGTAGCTCTCTGGACAGTCGTCAAACCTTGAGAGGCTGGTGTTAATGAGCTCACGGCGAATCATATATCTGGCAAAGTCATTCAAGTCTGATCTCTCACTCTTTGGTGCCAAAGTAACTTGTGGAACCCCTTGTGGTGTGAAAGTTCTCTGGTGATGTAGGGTGAGTTACCAGGGTAAAATGATGTTGCATGAGCGTTTAACTGTGGTGTAGTCTCTAAGGCTTGTGCTGGCTGTGGCTTGAGCTGCGGCTTGTCACTGGAAGTCACCTTGTTGTTGGCAGGAGTTGATGTGGTTTGCTGCATAGATGTACTTGTGTTGTAGATTTGAAGAGGCTTAGGCATATGGAGCTGAGAGGTCTCTGTGTTGAGAGTCAGAACAGTGTTGTTAGTAGGAGGTACAGGAGATGACTCTGTATCTTCGCAAATGTTATGCTTTAATACGTATTCACTGGTGCGTTCAACTGGATCTTCCAGTTCTGCTGGGATAAGGCAGTCTGAATTAGTACTTTGTCCCATTGCTTGTTCAAGGACTTTCAGCCTTGCTAGGGAAGCTGCTTCCTCCCCTTCCATCTGCAGAATCTTTATTTGGGAATCTGCCTCTGCTTGCTGAGCTACCTTGCATGCTTCCATCTCTGCTTGTTGAGCTACCTTGCATGCTTCTATCTCTGCTTGTTGAGCTTTGCTTGCGTGCTTCTATCTCTGCTTGCTGAGAAGCCATTTGTGCTTGCTTTGCTTTGAGCTTCCATCTCTGCTTGCTGAGCTACCTTGCGTGCTTCTATCTCTGCTTGCTGAGCTATCTTGCGTGCTTCTATCTCTGCTTCATTCTGGTAAAAGAGCTTTGCGCCTTTTTTGATTCAGCATCAGCGCGGGCCTCTATTAGCTTATTGCTTAACGTCGAACTTCTGGAGCGAGAGGATCTAGAAGAAAGTGCAGTGCGCTTGGTTGAGGTGGATCTGTGAGATCTGGTCTCCTGCAGTTGAGTAATGCGGAGTTCTGCTTTAAACTTAGCATTTTGCACTGCAAGATCCCTTTGTTGGTTTAGTGCATCAGTCCTGGTCAGTTCTGCTGAAGAATCCTCTATATTAGAGTCCTGCAAGAAAGCTGAGTATTTTACAGACAGCCGCTGGTAGCGTTCATACGCAGCAGATAGACGATTTATAGAGTCTCTTAATTCAGCTGGTTGATCATTAAAGTGTGACAAAACTGACATGCATTGTGAAGTTCGGTCCCAGAGGTCTGACAGATTACTGGAGAACTCATCTCTAGTGGCTTCATAGTTTTCCCTGAGTTTCTGTGTCGGTTTTATTGTACGTTTGGGTTTTACGCTCTGTTCGGGAATGTCTGCAGAATCTGCTCCCTGTACGTCTGCTGGTTCAGAGGAATGATGTATCTGCGTTGGTTCGGCCATAAAGGAGTGTTCAGAGCCTTGTCTAGACATTTTTTACTGTTCTGCAAAAATTGGTACTGTCTCTTTAAGAAGACGAACAGCAGCTTAGACAGGTGGGGTAACACAGTTCAATGCAGAGAAACAGTTTTCAACATTCACATGAAGTGCAGTAAGCTTGTGCGACCATGTGCTTTGCAAGATGGCGGATGGCACTGAGCTTGATTGCAGATTAGGCACACACATATACACAGCAGGCTGTAGGGATTCTATGCATCTTTTGACTATTCTGACTCAGATTGTTGTGATAGCGATTTATCCCTTGTGAGACCTCTCTGCCTAGCCTGTATAAGCAGATATAATCACTGTGGGCAATCCTTATCAGATAGCTTGAACTCACCAATACTGTGTTCATCCAGAAGTTGCTTTATTCTGTACATGTGACAACAGGATACAGCAGAATGAATGGTTTCCAGTATTATGCGGTCAAAAGATGATACTTTCTGTAGCGTACTATGCAGAATACATGTGTCCCTGTTACATGTGGTCTGTTAGCTGCCTCCATGACACAGGAAGTGCTGCACTCAAGAAGAAGGGAGGAGCTTCATATACAAAGGAACTGTGTCATAGATCTCAGGGAGGTAATATAAAACAAATGCATTACCAAATAAGGCCACTGGATGGCAGCATAACTAACTATAGAAATGTCCATAGGAAATGGTACAAAAAATAAACTATATGAATTCTCATGTACATTAACATAAATATGTAACAGCATAACTTCTCTGCAGGAAAAACATCAGGGACAGACTGATATTCTGCAAAAGGTACAGAGATTGGACTGCTGAGCACTGGGGTAAAGTCATTTTCTCTGATAAATCCCCTTTTCAGTTGTTTGGGTCATCTGAAAAACACCTTGTCTGGAGAAGAAAAGGTGAATGCTACCATCACTAATGCATCCTAAGAACATTCAGGTGTGGGATTACTTCTCAGCCAAGGGAGTGGGCTCACTCACAATTTTGCCTAAGAACACAGCCATGAATAAAGAATGGTACAAAAACATCCTCCTAGAGCAACTTCTCCCAACCATCCAAGAACAGTCTGGTGATGAACAATGCCAGCATGATGAAGCACCTTGCCATAAGGCAAAAGTGATAACTAAGTGACTTGGGGAACAAAACATCAAAAATTTGGGTCCATGGCCAGGAAACTCCCCAGACCTTAATCCTATTGAGAACTTGTGGTCAATCTTCAAGAGGCTGTTGAACAAAAAAAAAAACCCCACAATTTCTGACAACCTCCAAGTATTGATTATGCAAGAATGGGCTGCCATCAGTCAGGATGTGGCCTACAAGTTGATTGACAGCATGCCAGGGCGAATTGCAGAGGTCTTGAAAAAGCAGGGTCAACACTGCAAATATTGACTCTTTGTATAAACTTAATGTAATTGGCAATAAAAGCCTCTAACACTTATGAAATGCTTGTAATTATACTTCAGTATACCATAGTAGACAAAAAGATCTAAAAACACTGAAGCAGCAGCCTTTGTGAAAGTTAATATTTGTGTCATTCTCAAAACTTTTGACCAGGGCTGTAGTTACAAGAATAGGCTCTGTGCCAAACATTTTTAGAGTTAATTGGTCCTGTGGGTTAGATGTGTGCAGAGCACCAACCATATATCTGCTGCCTTTTATAGGCACCAAGGGAGGAAAATTACAGAAAGGTGAATACAGCTTTCTGGCACTTGATACAGTGTACAATGGAACAGACATTTGTAATCTACATTTAAATTTATTAGAATTTTCCTGAACTTTTTTTCTGATTACAGGAGCACAATAAATTGAGACACTCCATAATGAAGATTACTCATATTAATTGATTCATGTATTACATTAGCTAAATGACTCATCTCCTATTTTAGTAATTATTCACACTGTTCATCATTTTGTAAAGAGTACAATTTCTACATAAATCAACTAATAACATTCATACTGAACTGCTAGTTCCATTTAGATGCAGAGTCGTGGGGGGAAGTTAAATCCGCCTACACGCTCTTAAAGCAGGGCACAATGAAATGTATACCTTTTGTAAAGTTCACTGATGACATAAGCTGTGAGTCTTAAGTAGGCTGTGCATTGTTAGGGATCTTTTGAGTCAGAGGGAATCCTACTGGGGTTTCAGGATAAAGAATCAAAATGGTTTATTAAAGGATAAAAAGAAATTTATGACTTCACCCAAGACTGGGTTTAAAGGATTTCTAGTATGAGCATGTTAATTATTTCTTTGAATTTAGAATAGCAAATCTTCCACATCTGCTGCACATTGACTGCAATGGGCAGTTTTGTCAAGTGTGTCCTACTTCATTAAAAGGAACCACATAAGACATGCACATTCATGAGCTCTTTAGCTATGAGCATGTACTGTACCACTGTAGTATCCTGACTTGTTCTTGAGTTATAAGCCCGCATCAGTTTGCTAATAAATAACTGTAACAATGAGTGTGTATGCACTGTTTTAAATCATTACCCCAAAAATATTTTCTGATTTGATTAAAAATGTATGATTGTCTGTGTTATAGCAGAGTGAGGGGCTGAAGGCACAAGATTGAAACTGATGTTGTTCATAGACACAATTCAGATGCAGTGGGGAGCCAAAATTGTGACTCCCCACTGCACAAAGGAGCTCTTAGAGGCGCATGGAGATCTCTTGATATATTAACCACTAGCCTACAGGGCATTTATACCCCCTTCCTGCCCAGGCCAATTTTCAGCTTTCAGTGCTGTCACACTTTGAATGACAATTACACGGTCATGCAACACTTTACCCATATTAAAATTTTAGCATTTTTTTTGAGACAGACAGCTTTCTTTTGGTGGTATTTAATCACCACTGGGTTTTTTATGTTTTGCTAAACCAAAAACAACTGAACATTTTGAAAAAAAAAAAAAGTGTTTTCTTAGTTTTTGATTTACAATTTTGTAAATAACTGATTCTTCTCCTTCACTGATATGCCCTAATGAGGCTGCAGTGATGGGCACTGACAGGCTTCACTGATGGGCACTGAAAGGCAGCACTTATATATGGCACTGACAGGTGACCCTGAAAGGCAACTCAGATGGGCACTGATATGTTGCATTGATGTGCACCGGTAGGCACTAATATGTGGCACTGGCAGGTGGCACAGATAGCTGGCACTGATGGACACTGACAGGTGGCACCGATGGGGCTACACTGATCATCAGGGCACTGATGATCAGTGTGCCCTGATGATCAGTGTACATGTCCCCTCTGAGGAATGCCGATTACTGGCTCTCCTCTCGAGCTGTCAGCGTGACAGCTTGTGAGGAGAGAAATGCCGATAACCAGCATTTCCCTATTTACATGTAATCAGCTGAGATTGGACACAGCTGATCACATGACCAAGCTGAAATCTTCGGCTCTTTCCATTGATCGGTGATCCGCTGTGTCCAAGGGACACAGTGCACCACCAATCGCCGAACGCTCCCAGAGCCGCACATGTGCGGTTAGAATGGGAGGACGTCATATTACATCCTCCCAGAACGAGAGAACCACCTTTCCTTATATGGTGGGCAGGAGGCGGTTAAACAGTGAGAGGGCAATGAGAGAATGTGAGATAAAACACTTTATTTCAACATAAAGGCTATAGAACTAAATTTGAAAAATGTTGGGACACATTATACCCCTGGCAGATGTTCTCTGGATCTTATAGCTTATTTGTCACAAGTTAGCCTGCAGCCTCGTTTGTTTATTCTTACCTCCTTGCTGCTCCTGATTCCCTCACATCTGTGTTGTCTGTGCTTCTATGGGCATCGTCTGCTGTCCTCTGGGTTTTATTTCCTTCCCTTCCATCACGTCCTCTCCAGCCTCGTCTGCCTGTCTATATAAGATGTGCTCAGACTAGGCCACTCTGCCTGAGCAACTTCTTGTTGTTGGAGCTCCCATGTGTTTCCGCTGTGAATTCTGTGTTGTCCATCTGTGTACCGACTACGGATTCGTTCCTGACCTTGCTTGTTTTCCGCCTGTCCTGACCTCGGCTTGCCCATTGGATTCTCTGTGTCTTCTCCTGTTGTACCCTGCTCCCGCTAGCGGTCTCCTCCACCTCAGCTGGGTGTACCTGGGGGCCATGACCTGGTCCCAGCCTGCTACAAGTCCATCCCCACCATCAGGGGCCCTGGTTAACAAGCAGGCTGGGGCTTAGACGGGAGGGCCCTGGGGAACTTCAAGCTGTGGATCTATAGAGCTCACTACCATAGGCGTGACATTATTATCACGTACCTGGTGATGGAGGCCAATGGAGAGAAGGCTTCCCTTGTGGCTAAGTTCCGGACTCCCCTGAGAGTGGGACAGTGGGAGTCTGGCCCAAAGTTGCACAGGTCACCTGTAGGAGTGCTGGTTGGTGGTCCACTCAGAAGCACAGCTGGTGCACGGAGATAGGTCTGCAGACAGGAGGCGTTTGTGCGTGGTATGCAAGCCCTTCCGGGATTTAGATGTTTACTGGGTAGTCGGTTTAAGCCAAGGTCAGGTACCAGGTGGGAATCAGAGAAGACGTAGTCAGATGGGATAGCCGAGGTCATACACAGAGGAGCGAGAGAGTATCCGTAAGACAAGCCGAGGTCAGATCAGGGGTAAATCAGAGGTCCAGGAGCATACCGAGTCGGTATCAGGAAATCACAGGAAACAGGAACAAGGCACGGGGAGCTAGAGATCATCCAGCAACTTGAGGAAGTGATGAGCCTCCTTATAAAGGCCATCTGGCACCAAACTGAGGCTGATGCGTGCTTCTTGCCATGCAGGGTACTGGCAGAAATGCCAGATCTTCCAAAACGTCTGCCGTGGACAGGACCCTGACACTTATAGACTAATTCAGTCATAGACCCTGCTGTCTCTTAAGGAGCAATAGACCTCCCTCAACCTGCGATGTCTAGATAAGGAACCCACACCGTGCTCTCTTTTTCCACATACTTCAACATGGATCAGGCCTAATATATCTTTGTTTCAAAATCCTTTGATTCCCCAAGTTATTTTGGTCTTATTATGACTTACTGTCATGGTGTCCTCTAATATTTCCTTATACAACTCCCATATGATGTAACTTTTATTATATTTTGGAAAAGTCGGATGCCACATCAACCTCCCTAATAGGAATAACGGTGATTTGGGAAGACTTGTCAACCAGCACTCAAGGCTGACTGCAAAATCATCTAGATTTGGAATCTAGCCTGAACAAACCAGCAACTGTTGGGTATTCTTGTGGTTGAAGTTGTTTTTTCTGCGATAAAAATGCATGCTTGGTATGGAGGAATTATAGCTGCTAGGGGCTGGGCTCCATGTTTTTTTTGTGCCAAGTGTCTAATCCTCCTGTCGACAGCAGTGTAACCCAAGGTTCCTGGTTAGCATCCAGTATCCAGGAATGGAGGATATCAAAGTTTGAGTTCCCTCAGGTACAATTTTAAATGTAACAATCACCAAGTTCACATTAATCTGATTAATATTCATTCCAGCAAGATTTTAGGGAGCAATTTACGTGTTGGATTGATTGAAATTCTCTTCAATTCAAACCTATAGGGGGCAGTATCTATTTCCTTTATGTCATTACAGGGCTGAATTTAAATTTTCTTTCGTATACACCTTTAAATTCATTTCCATATCTTTTCATTTTAGCTGTTATCCATTTAAATCAATCATGAAAACACATAAAATTCATCTCAACATGCACTATAATGCACAGTAACACATCAACATGCATTTTCATGTATTTCCATTGAACTAAAATAGAAACAAAATGCATCATGGAAAAGTACCAAAAAACAGAAACGTGTGAATGGGCTCTTAAGTTTTTATACAGAACTGCATTATTCTGTTGTAGACATTTAGGCCCCTTTCAGATGGGGAGGACTTTGAAGCAGAGGGGAATCTGTCCGTTGATTGGAGCAGAGTGGACGGAGACCCCTTTACTCTATGGGGGGTCAGGTGTAAACAGACACCCTCCTATTCACCTCCTAGATGGAGGGGGAAGGATCCCCTTTCATATTTTTTAATGGACTAGATTGAATTCTAAGTAGGCAGTTGTAAACGGATATAAGTCTGTTTACACCCGCCATTCCATAAAGGTGAATGGACCGCCCAATCAGGTGCACCTGAAACACTGACAGGAAGACCTGATCGGAGCTTTCATTTGAAATGGGTCTTATGGTCTGCCTGCAGGCACAAGGTCACTGGGCTATATTAACAAGTATGGATTAAACTATGGCTGTAGATGCTTCATTTACTATAATCATTTAATACAGACCCATCACAACACTTTTATATAAACACAGAACCGTGGTTGCTCATCTACACTATATTGACAAAAGTATTGGGACACCCCAACAAATGATTGGATTCAGGTGTTCCAATCACCTCCATGACCACAGGTGTATAAAATCAAGCACCCAGCCATGCAGATTGCTTCTACAAACATTTGTGAAAGAATGGGTCGCTCTCAGGAGCTCAATGAATTCAAGCGTGGTTCCATGATAGGTTGCCACCTGTGCAATAAGTCCATCTGTGAAATTTCCTTGTTACTAAATATTCCACGTTCCACTGTTAGTGGTGTTATAACAAATTGGAAGCAATTGGGAACAACAGCAACTTAGCCACTAAGTGGTAGGCCACGTAAAATGACAGAGCGGGGTCAGCGCATGCTAAAGCACACAGGAGTCGCCAACTGTCTGCAGAGTCAATAGCTAAAGACCTCCAAACTTCATGTGGCCTTCAGATTATTGTTATACAGGATTTATATAGTGCCAACACTTTGTGCAGTGCTTTACAAAATGAAGGTAGACATTACAGTTACAATACAATTTGGTACAAGAGGAAACAGAGGGCCCTGCTCGTTAGAGCTTACATTCAAGGTAGCACAACAGTGTGTTGAGAGCTTCACGGAATGGGTTTCCATGGCTGAGCAGCTGCATCCAAGCTGTACATCACCAAGTACAATTCAAAGTGTCGGATGCAGTGGTGTAAAGTACACCGCCACTGGATTCTAGAGCAGTGGAGAAGTGTTCTCTGGAGTGACGAATCATACTTCTCTGTCTGGCAATCCGATGGACATGTCTGGGTTTGGTGGTTGCCAGAACGGTACTTGCCTGACTGCATTGTGCCAAGTGAAAAGTTTGGTGGGTGGGGGGGATTATGGTGTGGGTTTGCTTTTCAAGGGTTGGACTTGGCAACTTAGTTCCAGTGAAGGGAACTCTTATTTCATGCTCCCAACTTTGTGGGGACGGCCCCTTCCTGTCTTTCTTGTCCAACATCTGTGCTTGACCTCAACATTCCCATAGACACACTCCTAAACTTCGTGGACAACCTTCCCAGAAGAGTTGAAGCTGTTATAGCTGCAAAGGGTAAGACAACTCAATTTTGAACCCTACAGACTAAGAGTGAGATGCTATTAAATTTCATGTGCGTGTAACGGCAGGTGTCTCAATACTTTTGGCAATATAGTGTATATAGCAATTGGCTTTTCCTTTTATCTCTACAAATGTCTTGCAAAATTGCAGTCTTTACCCCTTTTTCCTTTAATTGAATTGGCAGTGACTACTGACATAACTTACCTTGGCACTTGACTGTTTTGGTCGAAGTGTGGATGTACAAGTGCCAAACAGGAATGTATATGTTGGGGATTTGGCTCTGCTCTAGTAGATACAGTATACACTCACCCTGGGGATGGGGTTACGACTTGGATGTGCATTTGTCCCCGCAATTTAATCTTGCTTTTAAGGAAGCATGGTTTCTATGAAACCCAATTGAGGATTTGAGAAACTGCAAGAATGCCCTGCATATAGTTCACCATCTTTACTCATTTATGGAACCTTGGTTCAATATACGTACATATTTATAAATAATTACACATGGGGGTTCCTCCTGCTTTCATAGTGGGGTACATTTAATAAATTTTGTGCTTTTAGGTAAATGTTCATATAATAAGCTTTGGTAATTTATTTCATTGTCTGGGAAGTTTATGAAGTACCAATAAAGTCCCCATTTGTCCACAATTTTCTCTATTGAACCAATCAAGTCAACCCTGTTCAGAGATAACGGGAGCTGCCATTACCTACCTTCTAATGTAAATGTTTATACCTGACTATCCAAAATGAGTACTTTATAGTCAATAAATCCAGAACAAGCATACTGTTTAGTAAATTCATGTCAA